CATGAGTCGCATTCTTTTCCTTCGAAATGCTTCGCACGTCCGTACAGGAATATCCTGTTCATGGCATTTCTTTACATACATGTTATATGCAACTTTCAAGGAAACATCATGGTCAACGTTGATGTTTTCCTCCTCAGCAGCACACCATGGTTGACCCTGTCCAGCTGGAACTGTTCGAGGTTTTGACCTTTCAATTGGCTGGAGATCATCCTGGTCTTCAACAGCCTGGACATCTTCATATGGCTGCTCCTCCACAGCCTCCTCTGGTTTTTTAACCAAAGTTCTGGGAGTGACTGGCACTTGAACCCTGTACGGGATGTCCTCCCCTAACTTCCAAACGAGGAAGTTAAAGACTTTGGGGAGGGGGAACTTGGACTGTATCTGCCACCTTTGGAGGAGTGCCTGACTTACAGTAGGACTAAGGTCTGCAAGCAGGGTCCTTAGTTGATTGTAGTCCACATAGTCCCCATTCATGATCATCCCGACACAGCTCACAAAAGTCAACACATTGAGCTGCAGCGTTCCTTGGATTGTCGAAGGAATCCTTTGAAGCACCTTGTCCATCCACATCATCCCATGGTCACGGTATTTCTCCAGATTCCTCGAATAACTCAAGGAACGCCGCTCTATCTCGGTGCAGACCTGGAGGGTTGCTGTTGCAACCTTCGAAAGATTCACGTCATATCCCTCAGACTCCAAAATCACATAGTCTTTGGTGTTCCAGAACATTTTTTTGGAGCCGCGGATATCACGGAACTTTATGGCCGGGAAGAACCGCAAACCCTCACTGAGGAATCCCTCCACCAAGCACTTCTTGACATCCCTTCCGTTCTCGACCATCATCTGCCGTGCTCGGCCAAACGTAAGAGGTGCTCGAAAGCTGTCTTTGACACTGAGATCTTCACAGAAGATCTCGAGGTCAATGGAACCTGACAGCCGACCTGGTGGATGTTGAGCTTTCAAGGCAGCATAGGGGATGTCCGAATTCCTTCTGAAGATATCACAAAGCAAAAGGCGGACAGCCCTGACCCCTAGAAGAGATGGAGTGGCATCTAGGGCCTGACAAAATGGGAAGATCCGTTCCAGCCTCTTGGTTTGCAGTTCGTTCTGTGTCCAGTGGACTAATGGAGGGGGTACCTCACCGGCACTTGCAGCTGAGTGTGGAGCCAACCCTATGAAGCCTCGCGTGTGAGTGAGGCTGTTTGGGTTGACTGTGTTGGTACCGAGACTCACACTCAGCTGTAAGTCGGATGGTGAGAGAGGATGCCCATAAAAGAGCTCCTCCAACGCAAGTTCGAGCTGGAAGGTCTTCCAGCAAGGGTCATATCTGGCAACACCCTCATTTTTGAGGAAAATGTGACGGAGTTCTTTTACAAAGTGACCAAGGACACTTTGTAGTGTTGCCTGGAGCCCGTATTCAAAATCTGTGTCCTTGAATGGGACAACCAAGGCATTCTCCCTGAAAAGCAGGTAAACTGCTTCCATGCAGAAGCCATCCATAGGATCTATCTCGGGTGGAATTTCTCCACTCTCGAACCTGCGGACATGCTCGATCCTCAGGCCGAATTGGGTGACTAACTTTTGTTGCAAGTCGTCCATATGGTCGATGTATCCCAATGCCCTCGATTTCAGTGCACGCTCAAACTGTGGGTGAGACATCCCGCAAGTTGCCAATGTACCACTGACTGGATGCCTGTACGGTTGTTGGACATGGACATGTGGGGATTCCACATAGAACTGCACAAAAGTTAGATTACCCTCAGCACTGATGAAGTTCAGGAGCGGTTGGTGGAGGGTTAACGGCAGGTGATCCAGATTGCTCTGGTAATTGGTGGCCTCGTGGATCCCCAAGACAGAGTAAAGGGATCCACGAGGGCCGACCAACTCCTGAAGACCAAACCGGGAAAATAGCAAGTGGATGTCTGGGTCACATGCTCTTGCACTACATGCACTGTGCACCGAAAGACTGGCTACACAATGTGGCATAACAAGGTTTTTGACATCCAAAATATCCTCCACCTTCTGACCAAATGCTGTCACATACATAGCAGGCTTCAACAGCTCGCACTCAGGTATGTTCTTCATGGCCTTGTCAAGAAGGTCAAGGATGTAGTACATGTCTCTGCTCAGAACATGGTACTTGCTAGTGTGCGTGGAGATCTGTTTTTGGAGGGTTGGCCTCCTCTTGTCCTTTGCTGAGGCAGCCTGAAGTTCCTTCTGAAATTCATGGACAATCGAGTTGAACATCTCATAAGAATACATTTTAAATGTAGCCTTACTAGTGAGGCGTCTGTCAGGGTTAGTGAGAGATTTGGGTGTGAATATTAATGACAAATGGTACCCACCATCAATGTACGCAACGGTGTAGCCACAGCTGTGGCGCAAAGCGCTCAACCCAGCTGGGGTACACT